GAGATCGTCACCTCCTTAAGCAGGTGACAAGGTGCCTACGAACAACCCTCCTGCTCCACAAGATCCGTCATCATTTATGTGGGACCCCTTGCTTCAAACCGCCCACAAAAAATCACTTTATTCGAAAAAGTCATGCACAGATCCCAATGTATCAACCCGAAAATACTATAAATAGCGGACCCATGACATTTGTACGGGGATCTCTCTCCGAACTGAAAAAACTTTACTAAGCAACACGTAAAAGCCCATCACGGCTCTTCACCTCGGTTCACCTCGGACCGAGGCCATTGTTGATTTAATCTTACATGCTTTACGTCCAAATCATTCAAAATTATCCACTTAATCACAAGTTATATCGTTGTTAAAAATCACATAACAACAGTGACCTCGGCTCAAAATAGGACACTTGTCCTATTTTTATTGCACAAGTGTATTTTTTTGTATCCAAAAAAAAATATCAAAATTTATATTTTTTTATTCTGTACAAATAGAGACCACACTTAATACATTTTAGAACACAATTATAATTTTTAAATAAATTAAAATAAAATAAATATTTAAGTTGAGTTGGGTTATGAATAAAGATAAATTGGGTTGAAAGATTGAGTTGTGTAGGTAGAGGAGATAGACAATTTTTAATTGTTAGGTTGGGTTGAGTTGGGTTGGGTTGGGTTGGAGATAAAAATAGTCTTAGGGTGAGATTGGATTAATTTTTTTTTTATTTTTTTTTTAGTTTTCTATTGAAATTTGTTTCATTACAATTAAAATCCAATATAATAAGATAATGGAAAAATATTGTTTATTTTATTTTACTCATATTTTTGTTACAATCATATAAAAAAATGAGATAAAGCAGAAAATTTTCATATTATTATTTTTTATCTATATTCGGGTGTACTTATTTCTTTTCTTGATAATTATGTCATAATTTGTTAAACAAAATATAATTGGTATTGCTTTTATAGTTTTAATGTAACTCCAAGAATATTAGTTACTATTTATGGAGCTCGACTTTTTTCCATAAATAGCCAGCTTCCTAATTTTGATGCATTTATTATATTTATTTGCAATAAATTGAGTAATAAGTATTAAAATCTAAGCCATGGAGAATCTATTCGATTTTAATTATTAAAGTCGGATTTAATTAGCCCAAGTGTCGGTTGTAATTTTTAAAACCGAGCATTTGATTTATCGAGATTTTATTAAAGCTAATCCAAGCCGAATAAATTATTTATTCGAGCCCAATCAATTTTGAGTGAATCCAATTATTCTAGTCGGCTCATTTAAGTTAATCGGACCCAAGTTTAATTTTATTTAATTTTATTTTAGTCCATCTTAAAAATCGAACAAATAGTCGATTTTTTTTTAATTCGAGGCCACTACTCTAATAGAGTTGACCGATTAATTTAATTAGTTCGAGTTTGACTAATTTTATTAACCGGGTATCTAATTTCCTAGTCCATATCCAATTTTAAAATCGAGCCCAAGAGTTGAGATTTGTACTAGCCCGGTTATATAATTCATTTTTTTTAAGCCCAATAGTTAGGAAATTAAAGCCCGATTCTAAGGCCCAATGCAAGACAAACCCTAATTTTCCCCTCACTCTATAAATAAGATATGACCTTCCAAGCCTAGCCTACCAAACACTATTCATCATCATCCTTTTTTCAAAAATGCAAGATCTACTAAACATCTACCCCTTATCTTCAAGATCTAGCTCAAATTAACCATTTCTTAGCAAATATCAAGAACAAAAGTTAGTTCTCTTAAGCTTCTCCATCATAGTCCATATCTTAAACTTCAAAAATCTGGCCAAGCTCCTTCATCCCGGACGACCCGACCTTCGGCGACCCGAGTTCCGGTGAGCCAGCTTCAGTTCGCGCCTCCCGAGCTCAAAAGACGCTAAGAAATAGTGAACCAGCTTGAGCCGCGACCTGTCCAGCTCCATACGCGCACAGCACCGCAACAACCCACATCCGCCGTCCACGAGCTCGAACCTCGCGCAACCATCACCTGCAAACATCGTTCACGTCGTCCTTGCTGTGACCGCGAGCTCGAGACCCGCCCCTGCACCAGTACACGTCGTGCGTACGCCGCTGCACCAACCAGCTCCACCTGCGTGCTCCTCGACATCCGTACCAGCGACTAGCTGCAAGCTTGAGCTCAACTCTGCCGGAAAACGACGAATCAGCTGCCGGCGCCCCTCCCCAACCCTCTGCGCACGCCTGCACCGAACTCGCCCTACAACCGTGGCCAACGAGCCACCTCGGTCCAAGTCTGAACCAACAGATCCAAAGTTGCGACCCCTCAGCCCCGAGCCATCCCGGTCACCTCCAAAATCGGTTCGATTCAAGCACCGGTCCTTTTTGTTGACCTTTCTCTTTTCCGATTTTGAGATTCAAGCTCGTTTTAAGGTAAAACGGCTCGAACCTTTCTCCATGAGCTTAGATATGATTATTATTTTTTTTTCCGAAACGATAGAAGTAATATAAAAAGCAGTGTTCTAAAAGTCGCTAGGCGCCCGCTAGGCGCTTGACCAGCTCCTAGCGCCTAGGCGGGGCCTAGGCGGGGCCTAGTCGCGGCCTAGAAATCAATATTAAATACCTTATTTTTTATTTATTTAACTACTAACAAAATAAAAGTATCTCAACTTATAATAAATCGACACACCTAAGTCCAAATACTAATATTAATATATTTTAAAGAAAACATGAGAACAAAATAATGTAATTAGTATTTAAAAAAAAAACTAAAAAATTTCCGTCGAGCCCGCCTAGGAGCGCCTAGGTCCCGCCTACGCCCGCCTAGGCGCCGCCTAACCGCCTGGCCGCTGAGCCTGCCTAGGCCGCCTAGGAGCGCCTAGGGCCGCCTAGGCCCGCCTAGGCACCGACTAGCCGCCTGGCCGATTTTTTTGGCCGATTTGTGCAAATCGGAGGCGCCTGGGCACCGCCTAGCGCCTAGGCGCCGCCTAGGCCGACTTTTAGAACAGTGATAAAAAGCACAAATGTGCAAAAGAACAGATTACAAGACCCCAACAGGGTAATTCTAAGGCCCCAACAGGGTAATGAGACAGGGGCCAACAGCCCAAACCAAAAACACCCTACTAAACCAACTGGAATAGAAAACTGGGAGGACACACACATGGCGGCCTAGAGAACTCCACGAACGAAAATAAAAGAGAATGACAAACAAAACCACTGCACAGTGCCTAGCCTGTAATCATCTCCGAACCAAAAACGAAAAACAAACTAAAAAAACTATGAAAATACAAACTACAAAGCAAACAAGCCCAACAAACAATTACTAAAACTAAAACGACCCTCCCCCGATGAACTGACGAACCCGAGCAAGCAGCTACAACCAACTTAAGAAGAGGCCCCTAGCCAAGTCCCAACCCCCGAAACTGCCGAAGGCCTAACGAGAGGTGGGACCCCGCCCCTGAATCAAACTCAAAGGTCGGAACCCACCAACCGGGGAGATCAAGCCCAGCAGCCCCAACCCGATCGACCAGGTCCGATTAACACCACTAGCCGGACCCAGCTTAATCGGAACCCGAGCTTTCCAAGGGAGTGGAAAAATCGGAAAAGCTGCCCCCAGCTCATCTCCCACTCCAGCGACCACCGCGAACACACGGCGACCATCAGAGCCCCAAATCGACCACACACAGCAACTCCCAGACAACACCACTACCACAGCCGGATCTGCATCCACCAGCCAAAGCCCCAAACCGAAACCCTAAATAAATCAACCATCCATAACCTCCCAATAGCACAACACCCGAACCAGAGAAGACCGGAGGAAATCCAAAACAGAACCTCGCAGCAACTTCGAGCAACGAACGCAGCAGAGAAATTGCGCTCGCGCCTCACGCACCGACAAGAGGGGGAGGACGCAAGGAACCAGCAGAGCGGCAGAATTGAAAGGGAACGCCGATGGGATCGATTGAGCGGCCAGCAGCGGCCGCGAAATCGGCCGCGCCGCCCCGGAGGAGGCCAATGAAGACGAAAAATACGGCGCTCTGGTTTTGTGTTGAGAGAGAGAGAGATAAACGAGAGATAAACGAAAAATGTGTTAAGATGATATAAAAATGTGAATTTGAGGATTTGAGCGATTTACGATTTATTGGGATTTATCGAGCTTGAGGTTGATTTTTCGAGCTTTTTATAAAAATGCGATATAACGATGAATAAATTTTATGAAATTCGTTTCGATGTCTTGAGGCTTAGGTGCGAATTTGAGAATATTTAGAGTTTGTTAGATAGACGAACGCGATTTTTAAGTATTTGACCGGTTGAAGCGATGGTGAGTTGAATGGGTTATGAGTTGAATTTTGACCCGATATTTTGACCATGGACCATGTAGGTGTTTAAAATGGTGTGTTTCAAATTTGGTAATGTTCGGACACCATTTGATATAAATTAAAAATCAAGACGTTAGCCTCATTTCGCGATATTTTATAATATTAGCCGGACATGATTTTAGTTGTTGTAGTTGATTATAAAATCAATATAAATTACATAGAAAATATATATATTATAATTATCGGCCTTAAATGAGTTAGGGTTTTCGAGAATCAGAAACTCTAGTTTATCCGGTTCCGATAACCGGGTATTTTTCCATAACCGAATATAATTGGCCGAACCCTAGTACTGTCTGAATAATTTTTAAAAATGT